CTCACATTCATTTATTAGATTTTGAATTAAATTTTGATAATCTGGGAAATAGTGGGTTTCTTTGAACCAATTGATAGTTTTTTCAATTCCTGGGTGTAATAATTCTTTGTGCTTTTTTAATATTAATTCTTTGAATTCTGCGTATGTTTGAAGGTCTATTAATTTTGTACTAGTTTTCATTGCCTTTGTTGAATTATTCGGACTTATTATTTCTAAGTAGGCTTCTTGAAAAATTGGAAAATCTGCTTCGTTGTGGAAGTATAGCACACTTTTCTTTGTGCATAAGTATTCTTTTATTAATTCTTTGGCATGCGTATTAGTCATGTCTTTGTACGTAATTTTTATGTTGGTTTTGTGAAAGTAATTCGTAACTTTTGTTTCGTTCTCGGTTCCTTTTTCAAATTCTATTTGTCGATTATAATAATTAAGTGGTCTTTCTGTGATTTGTAAATGGTTACTGTTGTCTTCTTGAGCACTATGTATTGTTGCTCTTGTGCTAATTGTATCTTCGCCTAAGAAGTTTTCGTTTAATTGAATTCTGGACAGAGCATCTGCCACATAATTTTCTTTTCCTGGGACGTATTTAATTTGGAAATCAAACTCATTTAGCTTGATCTTCCACCTTTGTAATTTCATGTTAGGTTCTTTCATATTATTTAACCAGACGAGTGGTCTGTGATCACTAAGGATTTGAAATTGTCGACCAAAGAGATAGGACCTAAAGTATTTAGTGGCCCAAACGATTGCTAATAATTCTTTTTCAATCGTTGAATAATTTAACTCATGCTCGTTGAGAGTTCTACTTGCATAGCATATAGGCTTATGCTCTTGCGAAAGGACGGCCCCTATTGCCATATTACTCGCGTCTGTAGTTAATGAAAATGGTTTTTCGAAGTTAGGGTATATTAAAATTGGGTCGGATGTTATGAGTACTTTTAGCTTTTCAAACGCTAGTTCGTAGTCTCTGTCTTTTATATTGATTTTTGCTCCTTTTTTTAATTTAAGTGTTAATGGTTTTACTATATTAGCGAAATTTGGTATAAATTTCCTATAGAAACCACATAATCCTAGAAATGATTTAATTTCTTTTGGGGTTTTTGGAATTGGGAATTTGACAATTGCTTGTATCTTGTTGGGATTTGGTTTTATACCCTCAGTTGTGATTATGTGACCGAGAAATTCAGTTTCTTTTCTCATAAACTCGCATTTATCCAACTGTAGTTTTAAGTTAGCTTCTCTAAGCTTCTTAAATACCTTTTGTAGCGACAAAATGTGTTCCTCCAATGAAGTGGAAAAAATAATAATGTCGTCTAAGTAGACCAGACAATCCTTAAAAATTAAATCTTCTAAGAGATTGTTCATACAACGTTGGAACGTTGCAGGTGCATTCTTAAGACCGAATGGCATGCGAGTGTACTCGTAATGGCCATGTTTAGTCGAAAATGCGGTCTTGGGTATTGAACCAGGATCCATTTGGATTTGGTGGAAGCCTTTGGCTAGATCAATGGTTGTGAAATATTGACATTTTCCAAGTTTGTCTAATATTTCATCCATGATCGGGATAGGGTATTTATCATTAATAGTTAGTTCATTGAGATTGCGGTAATCTATGACTAACCGGAACTTTTGCTTTCCAGATGCATCGTTTTTCTTTGGAACGATTATTACTGGTGAGCAGTAAGGGGATTTGGATTTACGTATGATATTTTGTTTTATCATATCGCTTATTTGTTTATTTACTTCCTCATCGTATATTTGAGGATATTTGTATGGACGCTTGTAAATTGGGTCCTCATGTTTTGTTAGAATTTTGTGTTTAATTGTACTAGTGAAAGTCAAATTGTCACCTTCATGGTACTGGATATCACGAAATTCATGTAAAACTTTTTTTATTTTTTCTTTTTCTTCTGAGTTTAGGTGCTCTAGCCTAAACTCATTGTTTTCTATTAATTCATTATTAATAGCGAAGTTAAATGGTCTGTCCTCTGTTGAGGGTGGATCAAGGCACTCTTGTGCGGTCATGTCCTCTTCGACCTCTTCGTCGTTATATCTAAAACAAAAGTTAAATTCTCCTAAGGTTACGGATCCTTGTGCATAGTCTATTTTTGCTTGACATGCCTCAAGGTATTCTCTCCCAATCAGAACATCATAATGCTCTGAGAAGTCGTGAATATAGAATTTTTGTTTGCTCGGACAAATTTTGCTTGCTCCTAATCGTATACTTTGTTTTAATTCAATAACACCATTTATGGTGTGAACCTTTAATGTTTCGTTGTAAACTGGAAAATTTAAGCGGTTAGTTTTCATTAGATTAATGGTTGAACCTGTGTCGATGACACATTTTAGAACTTCGTCATTCATAATCAATTTTATGAATGGATTTCTTCTGTTTGTTCCGAGGCTTGCTGATGAAAATTTTCGGATGTATCCATTTTCATCTGCCCACTGTTACTATCTCTTTGACGTTTAGTCGGAGGGTTTGGTGCATTCAAGCGTGAATGGGACTGATTTTGGTAGTTTAAGGGATTTTGGTATCTACCTTGACTTAATTTCTGTTGGAACTCGTGGTGAGCTTTCTGATTGTCTTCGGACTTATTATGCTGTTTATTTTGTGCGTGATAACTCTGATTCGTGTTGGAATAGCCACTTGAAATGGTGGTTGGGTTAGCATTTTGCTGATAATTTCCCATGTTCCTACGATTGTTATTTGGATTTCCCTGAACATTATTATTTTTAGGTTTTTCAGTAACGCTATTTTCATATAATCCCTCTCTTTGAGCTACTTGCTTTAGTTTTTGTGTCGACGTAATGTCGTGTCTGGCTAACATCATGAAAAGCCTATCTGGTAATTTTTTTGTAATAACATCTTTGATTGTGTTATTCATAGCATTTGTATAAAGGGTTGTATTGCTAGGTATATTTTCTAGTGCTAACTTATTTAAAATAACAAAAGATTTATTCTCGAGCTCCTCGATGAACTTACGGACGTTTCCTTGGTAATTCGTGTTGTATAAGCGTCGAAGGAGTTCTTCAAATGGTGTCTGCACTTTGTATTCTTCAATCAATGCGTTTCTCAGCTCCTGCCAAGTGTTGGCTGCTGTCCTTTGTGATATTCTCTGAGCATCTCCTGTGACTTGCAATTCGATGGCTCCGTATAAGATGCTATGTTGTCTAACATCTCGGGTTGGATACAGGTGTAGGATGTAATCTATCCTTTTAATGAAGGCGTTTAGTTGATCCGTTGATCCGTCAAAGCTTGGCACCTGTCTAAGTTGTGAAAGGGCCTGGTTGAGGTGTTGTTCTGATAATTCCATTGTCATCTTGGTGTAATACACTTTTTTTGAATAGTTTTGAGTTTGTAGGTTTGAACTTTATTGTTCTTTGATTTTGCACTTTTATTTTAAGTTAAAGTTTGTGATGGATTATTGTGTAAATGTTTTTTTTTTTTTTGTGTGTGTGTCTTAAAAAGACTCAGTAATAACGTATTGCAGGGATCAAACGATATGCAAAGCCAGTCGTTATTAACTGTAGTAGCTTTATTGCCCAAAGGGTCAATATTATTAAGCTACTAATGACCCGAAGGTTCTTGTGCGGATACGTATTCGAGAAAATTTTTATTACACTCCGACAACACTTTCGGTCGCGATTGTGCGTTAGATCTGGGAATTAATTATCCTTTAGCGATCTTTAATTTTTCCCGACGTATCCTACCGGCTGCGCCAATTAAGTTTTGCACGTTAGGTTACTATAAAAAAATATATTTCAATTTATTATTTTCACTTAACGGCTACTTTTGTTGAGTACATTCAGATTTGCTTCCCGAATATGAACTGATTTATCTAACTGTTGCGGTCGCTTAGCAAACTTCGCTTTGAGAGAGTTTGAGTCAAAATTGAGTGAAGTTTGAGCTGCGTCAGCAATTATGCGTGGGATAGTACTCTGATGGGAACATTGACAGTGGCGTGATATTTAGGGTGAATTGTTTATGTCTACCAAAGGGGGACAGTTTGATCTTGACCAATGTCGATGTTATCACCAGGCTCTTTGTTTACAATATTAGAAATGTTTATAATTGTGCTTATGCTTATGTGCTAAGTTATGTTAAAGGGTGGGTGCGACTATGGATATGTCACTATATATATATATAAAAAAAAAAAAAAAAAAAAAACAGGAAAAATAAAGCAAAAACAGAAACAGAAACGTTGTGAAACGTTGCTAAATGAGTCAAAAATTTGATAAATGACACAGAAGAAAAAATTAAGCAGCTGCAGAAGCAACGCAGCAATAAATTGAGCGCGTGAAATGTCGACGAGCCGGGTTTATCTATGCCACTGGGGAAATGGCCAGGCCATAATTAGAGACGCGGCTCTGTTCGGCTGGGGCCGATATTAGTTAGAGCGCGGAGGCATAAATTACGCCAGTCAGTGGGGAGCAAAGCGCTCAAAATACTCGTATCATTAAATTAGTTCTTGGGGGTGTGTGTGTGTGTGTGAGGTTGAGGGGGAGGATGGGGAGGAGTGGAGGCTGTTGCTTAAATGAGAGATTATTGCGAAAGCGAGGCAATAAATTGCGTAAATCTTTATGAATGAGTTTGCTTAAAGTTGAGCGCTCAAAAAGATTTCCAGCAAATCGTTTTCGCCAGCAATTCGCCAAAATTCAAAGTGACAGCCAGCAAAAATGCAACATTCTTTTTCGTGGCAAGCAATAAATCTGTTAGAAGCAGTTAGTCCAGACAGTTGCGATTTGTTTTAATAATTAAATATTAAGCATGTATATAAGATCATGTTTTGTATTATTATTAAAGTTAACTGGATCTTTCATGAAATGTAAGAAAGGCAATTTAAGGAATATCCTGTGAAAGCAGTTAAATGTTTATATGTTTAATACATTTGTACTTTTAATTTGTTAATATTTCTCAGCTCAGTTGAGCCCTTAACTTTACTTTACGTAACTGTCTTAATTGTATTATTTATCAATAAATTTGTTCATCATGAACTTACCGCCATATCTGCAATTTGTTTTGTCAGCGGGTATATTGCCATTTGGTTCCAGTCGATCCAGATACTCTTCCGAATTGTAACCATTGAATGGAACTTTATTACCGTGATTATGATGGGCGCCACCGCCGCGATGATGATTATGATGATGGTGATGATGATGTGTGGAATCGTCACCATCCTCGCGGGAAATAGCTGCAATCGCAATAAAAATAATATAAAACACAAATTTAATAAACATTATAAATTCTCGATTACCAATCGCCTTATGACTTTAAGCTAATTGGCTTTTATGTAAAATCAATTTTCGTAGAAGCACTTAAAACTTGCCCCCAATCAAATTATGATTTTCATATGAACACACTCAATACTAAAGTGGAAATTCCCTGAAGCACACTTGGCCACATTTCACTTTTGAGAGCTTGGACAAATTCTGGTGCGGAAGTGTGAGCTGGCAGAATGATGGGTCGGTTAGTTGACTGTGGCATGAGTTTGGTTTCAGGCCAATCAACGCCTTTGTGTGTGTTTCGAGGCCAAGAATTCTGGTCCAGGCCATCCTCTGCGGGCAGCGGTCGGGTGCTGGGGTTGCGTTCGCAAGTCAATTGACGGCGGTTCTTGTGGGTCCGGGCTTTGACTGCTAATGGCTTCATTTGGACACCTTGAGGCTGTGCCGCGCCAAACTTAATGTCAATTTTAAAATTATTTTACAAAATATCAGCCTAAATGGCTTAAATTCCCAAAAGGGTAACACGCAGCTGGGCCCCCCGTCAAAAGTCATAGTCACAGCTCGTGAACGGACGCCACATTTGGGGCTCAATTTGAAATGTGTCGAATATGCAAATGAGTTGAGCGGAAAAAATGTAGCTAAGCTTTTATACAAATTTGTATGGAACTAACGCGGGCGCGCCTTCTAATTTCCAAGCCGGAAATACAAAAGGCACGAATTGCGCCACAGAGCCAGGGACAGCGAGAAAAAAAAACGAGTTGGCCACGTTACCTGCGCACAAAAAACCCGTAACAGAGCAACAGCCAACGGAAATTGGCTGGGTATTAGCTTACAGAAGGCAAACATATACATACGCGCCGGGGCTCACAACGCTTTGGGCCCGCCTGGAGTTTTGCTCTGTCTCTCGCTTGTAAAGGGTATCACACTTTTATCATGGAGTATGTGACACACAGAAGTACACAGAACAAAGGGGTATTTCTGATCAGCATCGACAGTCAACTCTTTTTACTCGTTCATATACAAACTGGGAACTATGCATAGATTCGTCCTCTTGTTGCAGACACTACATTAGGGTATTAATTCTGCTGCTTGCCGAAGAAAGTCCTGCGTTTTTTTTTTTTTTTTGCCAGAACGAGTTAGCTTTTTGAGCCTGCAATTTGCTAACGATATGCATACAAGTGGATGGCCGGAAGGGTAGCAGAGACAGCAGCTCGGAGAGGGCTCTTACATGTGTGCTATATGCAAATGGCAAGCGCCGAAAGGATTACACGTTTAGTGTTTCGGCTTCCAAAATGGAGGCAGTCAATAAACTGTGATCACGAGTGGCAGGCAGTGTGGAGGTGAGGCAGTTGAGCAGCAGTTGCTGTCTCTTATGAATTATGGCAAGGACGTTGGGTGGGGTGGCACTATGGGTTTGTACATATACATGTTTAATTAATAGCCATAAGGACTTTAGTCAGGGACGGAGCGGAAGCAACCCCCAACGCACACAGACACACGCCCACGCCCACACACAGATGATGTCAGCACAACATTTGCAGATTGAAGCCAAAACACAAATCACAAAATTACCGCAAATTGTCGCTACAAATAAGCAATTTATTTGCTTATATAACTCATGTAGACACACACACACACACACACACACACACTCACTCGCAGACATGTGTGTGTGCACATCTATTGAGACCACAGAAATGCAATTCCCCTAAATGTGGCACTGCTGGCTTCAACTCCGGCTACAGCGATTTGATTTTTGGGGTTGCCTCGCACGAAAATCTCATAAACTTGTGCAAAAACACGCAGCCAACCCATTGGAGGGGAGCCGGGGCCGTGCCGGGTTGCGGTAGGAGGCTGTAAGAGATTTTGGGTGGCTGCAAATGTAATCAATAAAATATGTTCAACATAAACTACTCGCATGGTTGGAGTAGAAAAAAAGCAGCAGCAGACTCTGGGTTAATGGCATCAGACATCAGCTCATGCTCGTAATGTTCTTATGCAAGAGTCAATTCACAAAACTGCGACGAAAAATTACATAAATGTAGTGCTTGCAAAACTGTAGCATACTTTTGTGGGCAGAAGTTTTTAATGAAATTATGAGCTACAAAAGCGTGAGGCTCGCTCGTCGTGGACTGTGAAGACTTTGTGGTTGCTACGTGCTCAAATCTTGAGCCCTGGGCTGACAGTTTGATGATACTTTAGCAAAATGAGTTAAGATTTTCGGTATTTTACTCAAGAAAATAAAGTTAGTATCGCCTTTTAACTTAAAAAACAAGAAATTGGCGATATCGGTAAAGTTATGAATTGACATATTATTTTTAATATTTTATATACAGTCAATACATTAAATAATAAGGCGAGGGGATTTTCTTAGCTATTGCCTTCAATCTTCTCCGTGAGAGTTATTAAAAAGGTTATTTTGGCTGAAATACAGCAGCTGCCGAAAATAATCTTAATATGAGCAAAGATAAAAAATATTTGCAGCCAACATATATTTAAGTCCACTTAAAAACAAAGCCAAGCGAATGCTTAACTGAATTTGAGGGCTTTAAATTTGTTGCCTGCTTTTGTGCACCGGCAAATTTAGCTTAGGCAAGCCTTAATTTTTAAAGTTCCGGCCCCTTGACTGATTTATTTTGCTGACGAATGAGTGACAGTTGGAGAGAATAGCAGCAGCAAAGCCAATTGAACAAAGCTCGCAAATTGGGTGCAGACAATGGCAGTTGGGAACACGCTCCGAACAATGACAAACAACCGACAGTAAAAGCAAAATTAAATCAAAGCAAAACCGCACAAAGGCAAAAACAAAAAAAAAAAAACAAATAAAAAAAAAGTATAGAAAGAAAAATCGGCAAATAGAAAACACAAAATGGGAAAATCAAACGAGCAAATGCAATCTACGTAACTGGGCAGTAACTGGACAGTCCGCTTCCGAAGAGCTTCGGAGGCAGCCAGTCGGCAGTTTTAATGCGCTTTAGTCGCCGGCTAAAGCTTTTATTGTTCGCATTTCGGTTCGGGATTCCCTTGGACTTAACGGGTAGTTAACGCAAAGACGACAAAATGTGAGAGTTGAGAGCAATTGAGTGTTGAGCGCATATAAGCCAACAGCATTTACATAGATAATGCACAAATGTGCCATAAAAGTGAGTAAACAAGCAGATTCTGATGATATAGTTGGCATTGGCGAGCGTGGAGTACTTATGTGATTAGTTTATCGAATGTGGATTTGAATTGAAGAGGTGCGATTAAAGAGTCTGATATGGTATTAGAGTATAGTGTGCTGCGGGCATAAGCCTTTGCGCTCTCACTTTCACGCTCTTGAGTGCATACAAATTATTAATTCTTTGTATTAGATTCGTAAATATATTACTGGCTTTGTTCTCTTGCCCTTACACTCATAAGATTTAATTTTAATTTTCTTCTTTTTCGCTCTTGATTCTTTTATGTTCTCTATTCGTAAACGTTTTACCCGCTCTGCTTTGCAAGTTCGAAGCAAGCATAAGCTCGTGGTTTTTTATCTTTACGCTCTTGAGAGCTTACAATAGATAATTCTACTTTGTGCGCTATTCGCAAATGTTTTATTGGCACTGCTTTGAAAGCAAAAGCGTATAAGCGTCATAATATTATATTATACGTACGAAGGACATCATACTATCTCTCATTTCGTTTAAATACTCATTCTTAAAGCTTTATACATGTTTTCAAATTTTATATAAAAAATAACCTTGCCAAGTCAGCGCTTGTTTCCAATGAAAACCAAATGACCAAATTAAAGTTTTCGCCCCTTCAGCATTCGGTACTTAGTATCTAATCCTAGATAAGAGCTCAGAAGGCGCACATGGCCACAGTAAACGGACGTGTTTCTCTCTCAACTGTAACTAAAAAAGACAATGGCAAAATCAGCTCATCCGCTGAACCCGCAGGCGGTCCGTCGAAATTGTCAATAGTCTGATTCGGGACGAGCTGGCGAACCGCTGTCCAGACAAAGCAATTCAATCCCAACTGCGGATCACTGCAGGGCAAAGCTGATGATGATGTGAGCGACACTTGAAATGCTGACAAATAAGTCGCATTAACGAACAGTTGACCAGAACAGAACCGAAATGCGAACAAAGCAAATGCAGTTTGCCAGAGGGGAGTGCAGGCAACGCAGAGACACCAAAAATTAAATGTTAAAACTCATTTGTTGCCGCTGCCGATGTCATGTGGTTGGCATTGTGACGAAAGACAAGGCGATTGCCATGCAATTAAGGCATGCAATTTAATCAATTTATCAATTAAGCAACCGACAAGGACTTTTGATGAAAACAACAGCCAGCCAGCCAGACAGACAGACACTCGCTGAATTTATTTTTATACATTTTCCAGCACTACATCAACTCCACTCCACTCTGACTCCGACTACAACTCGAATCATGATTCGCTGGCTTTTAAAGCCAATTTCATTAGCATTTCAAAGTGGTTGCTTGGCTGGTTGCCTTGCCGGCCAGCGTCGGGAGTCAATAATGTTGTTAATTGGCAGCTGAGGTGTGGGCTGTAAGTGGGAGGGCGTACTTTTAATAGGGGCGTGGCTGCTGGCTGGTCGCGTTGTAAATACGTGTACAACAATATTGCGCCCGGCGGCAATTAACATTTGTAAATATGCATAATTGTTGAGAGAAAAATGTGCAGACAGAACAGGAAAAAACAAAAAACAAGAGCGAACAACACGCCGAAGCTTAAGTACCCTTTATATAAAGATATAACATATTTATATATTAGCATATGTATGAATTTGCTCTTAGTCAAAGTATGTCGTATTTTATATAACCAGAATCAGCGGCAAGAATCAAAGTCTTCGCCAAACTTGCTTTTAGTACTCATGAACATATAAAAATATCTCCCTCAATGCGTTACACCCTTCATGCCAAAATTCAAATACCCTATGTAACGATAACAAAAAAATACAAATGTATATAAAAAAAGCTGA